TGCACCCGGCCCAGCATGCACCTTGTTCATGCCCCCCAACTCTGGGCAGCTGGGCTCCGGCACCCCTGCTGCACCCGGCCCAGCATGCACCTTGTCCGTGACCCCCACCTCCGGGCAGCTGGGCTCCGGCACCCCTGCTGCACCCGGCCAGGCACACCTTGCTCATGCCCTCCACCTCCTCAGCACGAAGCTGGACACGCAATGCAGCCGCGTTGACCCGCTCCTTTTCCAGCCGCAGCTCTTGCCGCTCCCGCTCCAGTGCCTCCCGCTCGGCCGCCAGCTGGTCCTCCTTGACCCGGAGCTCACTGGCCCGGATCTTGAGCTCTGCCTGCTCCTGGGGACAGACAGCCTGGCTGGGTCTCCAATCCCTGACCTGGATCCTCAGAGCCACTCAGCTTGGTCTCCATATCTCCACAGCTCCCTCCACCCAGACACTGGGCTGGGGGTTTACAGGAAGGGAGGGGGGGCCAGGGGCCACTTAAGATGCCAAGGGACCGTGAATCTCAGCCCTCATTTCTTTTTTTAAAAAATTTTATTAGTTTTTTATGTGTGTGTGTACCATCAAATGAGACCTGAGTAGGACAGGAGGAGATTGCCCCGCCTTCTCCTGCAGAGCCTCTGGTGGATTTGAACCATGCACCTCTGGGATTGCAGTGCAGCTGCTTGCCACTAGGCCACCAGAGCTCCCTCAGCCCTCATTTCTAAGATGTCCAAGTTGCAAGGATGGAGATAAAACATGTGCTCAGCACTTGGGATGATGAAGGAGGTTCAGGCCGTTACTCCGTGACCACAGCGTCATCCCTACGCTTATCACTGCCGCATCTGGACAGGGAGGGTCCCCGTGGGGCACCGCCCCCACCTTGGGCCCTACCTTGGCCAGGCTGACGAGGGCGCCCTCCCGGTGGGTGTCCACCTGCAGCGCCCGCTCCACCTCTCGCTCAGCTCGCTCCTTACTCAGCTTCTGTTGTGCGTAGAACTCGGCCCACTCCGCGGCCAGGCGCCGGCGTTCCTCGGCACACTTGTGCATCACGGACTTCTGCTCCTCCAGCAGGGCGCTCTGCGGGCGCGGTGAGAGGCGGGGTGTGGGGCCACGTGGCAGGGATACGGATGGCAGGGGCTGTGCCTGCCCAGTGGACTGACTCACCTTGGCCCGTTCCAGCTCCTCCCTCTCCATGGCCGTCTGCTGGACCATGACCTTCCTCTGCTCCTCCAGCGAGCGCTGCGTGGACTCGGCTTTGGACTGCTCAGCACTCACACGCCAGCGCTCCTGTGGGCACATCGAGCTCAGAGCAGAGTGTGCTTCCTGACCTGTGACGGGCCGCGAACCCACCCATCTCCTGTGACATGGCACAAATGCTCCTTCTGAAGAGGTAACAGTGAGGGGTGCCTGAGAGGGGCAGCAGGGTCTGTCCTTGGGATTTGGCTGGGATAAGGACCGGCTGACCCTCCCACCAAGGTTCAAGGCCTGAGCGCTGCTGGGAGATGCAGAAAGGTGAAACCGCTACATTCACAGCAGCTCTGGCTCCGGCACTTGGCCTCCCTCAACCAAGCAGCTAAGAGCAACTTCACGAATGACTGAGTCACAGGTGGGTGCCGCTGGGCTCGGGGGCTTTCATTCTCTTCTCCTGTTTCATGCACTTGTGTTTTCTTCTAATGAACTTTAAGGTGAAATAATAAGAAGCTATTGTTTTTAAGACTAAAGCTTACTCTTAAGAGATGAGAAATGTATAGTGAGTTCAAAACACATCTGCTAAGCCAGGGGTCTAGAATGGTGCTCAGTGGGATCGACTGCTTCAGGAGTCGACCAATGAGAGGTGATGATACTGCAGGATGGGAGAGAGCCCGAGAAGTCCAGCCCCTCCCTGTCCTGGACCACTGACGGGTCAGGGGAGTGGGGCCCTGGTGCTGCCCACACACCTGCTCCAGGAGTCGACCACTGACTGGTCGGGGGGGGGGGGGCCTGGTGCTGACCCACGCTGGTCAGGGGAGGGCAGCATGTGGGGAGGGGGGCCCTGGTGCTGCCCACACACCTGCTCCAGGAGTCGACCACTGACTGGTCGGGGGAGTGGGGCCCTGGTGCTGCCCACACACCTGCTCGAGGAGTTGGCCACCGACTGGTCGGGGGAGGGGGGCCCTGGTGCTGCCCACGCACCTGCTCGAGGAGTCGACCACTGACTGGTCGGGGGAGTGGGGCCCTGGTGCTGCCCACACACCTGCTGGAGGAGTTGGCCACCGACTGGTCGGGGGAGGGGGGCCCTGGTGCTGCCCACACACCTGCTCCAGGAGTCGGCTCTGCTCGCCCAAGCGCATCTCCATCTTGGCCAGGACCTCCTGAAGCCGAGCCCGCTCCTCCTCCATGTCCCGCTGCTGCCGGGCCAGCCTCTCCTGCAGTGCTGGGGTCACACAGCTCTCTGGTCACCCACCTCCCTCCCAGCCAGGAGGACCCAGGATGCCCGGAATACCCCGCCACCAGCTACCTCGGAGCTGCTCATCCCGCAGCCGGACCCCCAGCTCCCGCTCCTGGGAGGTGCTGAGGTGCGAGGCCTCCACGCGGGAGGACAGCTCGTTGAGGCTGCTCGAGAACTTCTCCATCTGCTCGATGACGCCGTTCAGGGACCTGGAGGAGGAGCGGGTCACCCGGGCCCGGGCGTCCAGCACTGTCCCTTACGGGCAGGGCCTGGCCAGCCACGTACCGTGTGTGGGAGGTGGCACTGGTGACAGCGTCGATCTCTTGGTCCTTCAGCAGCTTCACCCGCTGCAGCTGCTCCTGGTGGTCTTTGCGCATCTCCAGGATGGACGCGCTGAGAACGAGGAGGGGCCGAGGGTGAGGAGGGGATGAGGAGGTGCGAGCACCCGGAGCCAGGCCTGGCACAGGGGTGCAGAGTGGCGCTCTCCAGTGGTCAGTGCTCTCTGGGGGCCTCCAGGCACTGACCCTGTGTCACGGTTACTGGATGCTTTAATGGCGCGTTTACTCTAAGGAGATGCCCTGCGACTCAGCTGTGGCTGGTTCACAGAGCATGCGGAAGGTGGGCATGGCCTTCGGGAAGGACAGGAGGGGGTCTGCTGATGCCCCTGTAGTGTCTGCCAATGCACATGACGTCAGAGGCCTGCTCCGGCCTCGTGAACACTGACGCCAGATGAACCTTTTGTTGCTTTATTCTCATCAGCGTGAATGCTGTCCCTCTGGGATTGTCGGGCACTGGACTCGGCCCGCGGGCTCAGGCACCTGTCAGCAGGGTGGGGTCGGGGCCCGGGCAGCCCATCCCCGTGCCCTCTGCCCGCACGCCTCACCGCTGCAGCTCCCGGAGCCGTTCCATCTCCTGGTCCTTCTCCTGCGCCGCAGCCGCCAAGCGCCGCTGATGCTGGGCGGTGAGCTCGGCGCGGGCCAGCTCGGCTTCCTGGCAGTGAGACAGGTACCGGGCCGACAGCTCTTCATTCTCCCTGCGGAGCCGCTCTTCCCGCTGCTGGTACGACGTCTCCAGCATCTTGACTCGGTTCCTGTCAACAGAACAGCCAGCTGTGGGGCTGCCCTGGGGGCCCGAGGAGAGGGAGCGGCCAGCGACGTGTCTGAGCGCTGGGACAGGGACCTGTGCGCGCTCTCGATGAGCTCCAGGTCGGCCTGGTGCCGCTGCTGCAGACTCTCCAGCAGAAGCGTGTGCTGCGTCCGCTCCAGCTCCAGCTTCCGCACCTACGAGACGGCAGACGGACGTCAGTCCCATCCGTCAGTGGTTCTGTCCCTCAGTCTTGGTCCGACGCTGTGTGCTGCCGTGGTGCGTCCTTTCTCCAGCCCAGCCCAGGCCTTCCACCGCTTCCAGCAACCCTCCCCGTCCCCACCCCGTCCTCACCTGGGCCTCCAGCTCGGCCAGCCGGGCCTGACTCCTCAGCAGCTCAGCCTGGAGTTGAGCGGTGCTGCCCTGAAGCTGTGCCTGTGCGGCCTGGAGCTGCCTCTGGTACTCGGTGCCCAACAGCTGGCTTGGTGCCCGGGACTCAGGGGGCAGGGACTACGTGTGTGACAGATGTGCTAGGTCAGGTGAGGAGGGGGTTCCCAGCTCCCAGGAAATCCTGAACCCTGTCCTTGCTCTGTGGCTACAGACAGGGAAAAGGACAGACCTAGAGGGCTAGGGGCAGGGGACGAAGCCTATGGCCACGGTCACTGCCGTGTGTGCACAACCCCAAGGTCCCGGCCAGGTCAGTGCGGGAAACCAGTCCTTCTGCCCTCCTTGTGGCCTGGGCTTTAAAGCACACATCTGCTAACTGAAAGGTCAGTGTTTCGAGCCCTCCAGCTGCTCTGTGGGAGGAGATGAAGCAATCTGTTCTATAAAAACGTACAGCCTTGTAGTCTGTATAGGGCAGTCCTTGTCCACCTTGCAGGTCGACGGGAATGAGAGAACTGACTCAACCGCAGCGGGTGTGCTGGATCCTTCGCCAACAGCCAAGTCTCCTTGATGGAAGCACAGCTGTGGCCTGGCTGTCAGGTTCAAAGTCCCAGGAGGACAGCAATCTGTTTCCTGAGCTGCTCACCGCCCGCCATCTCTCAGAGGGCCCCTCAGTTCTGGGGACACAAACTTAGTGAGCCACCCCTCCCTGGCCCAGGAGCCAGCGGTGACTGTACCTGGGTGACAGGTGGAGGTGGGCTGGAGATGGCAGGGACGGGGGCTCTGTATGAGCCAACAGGAAACAGCAGCCCTGTGTTCTGACAGAGACACTCCCAGAGACCCCACCTGGGCCCCACCTTCTCTCCTCCCATCTAGTGGGCCCTGACTCATGGGGCTCCTCGGTCTGGATTCTGAGGCTGTGAATTCCAGCGGCAGACTGCCTCACCTTCTCCTGAACGGCAGGATATGAATCACTGGCCTTTCAGTTAGGGCGCCCGCTCCAGCAAATGGCCCAAACCTAGGGAGCGGGGGCTGCTATCTCGTAAGGGGACACATTCCTCCTGGCTGGCTGGCTATGGCATGGAGAACTGGCCCAGGGCTGTGACCTCCTCACCTGGTTAGGCACCAAAACCCCGGGGGGCTGCTGGGAGCTCGGGAGACAGATAGTAAGTTCTGGAAAATCATCAGAATCAGCAGAGAAGTGAGTGGTAGGTGAACCCAGAACCCTGGACCCCTCACTGACCTTCCAATGAAGTCCCGACCCCGACCCTGTTAAGTCCCAAGGAAAGCAGCAAACTCACCAGCAGCAGAGGCTTCTCCGGGGACAGAGGCCCTTTCTGCATCGCCTGAAGGGGGCGCCACGAGAGCCTGCTTCACAGGGGACCTGGGGACCCATGTGCAGGTGACAGTGGGAAGTGCAGGTAAGAATACAAGGAGGGCAGGAGTGTGGGCACAGGGGCACAGGAAACTTCAGGTGCAACTGCCTGCCTAGACCAGGCCCAGCGGAGGCACGTGCATGCAGAGAAAGGCTTGTTCTGGGGGTGCGCACGCCGGGTGAGGAGCCCAGCTTCAGAAGACCCTCAGCCAGCGGCCTGATGCCAGCGGCCGTCTGGGTTGCGTCTGACTCAGGGTGACCCCATGTGTGCTCCCACACGAGCTTTGTGGGGGGTTCAAGGTGAGTGAGGCCTTTTGGAAGCTGACCTGTCCTCCCGCCTGTCCTCCGAGGTGCCCCAGGGCGGCCTCCACAGGCCACATTCCCGCTACAGCTGTGCATCCAACCCTGTGTACCACCCACGGACTCCTGGTTGGGACTGAAGTGAGTATGGATGCCTTGCACCAAACCAACTAACTGGGCCTCCACCATACAGCTCCCTATAAGCCTCTGCCCCCACTGTAGATATACCCCAACTCCTAGGATTGGGTAGGTGGGTCTCCCCACCGTGACAAATCTCAGCCCCCATCACTAGACGCACCCTGACTCTCCAGGCTGGGCAGGCGGCACTGCCAGTGCTGTTGCTCCTGCAGCTGCTCCAGGAGCTGCACGCTCAGGTCCGTGGGCGCTGGGGGCAGGCTGGCTGCAGGAATTCAGTGTTAGTGGGCTGGGGGGCAGGCTGGCTGCAGGAAGTCAGTGTTAGTGGGCTGGGGGCAGGCTGGCTGCAGGAAGTCAGTGTCAGTGGGCGCTGGGGGCAGGCTGGCTGCAGGAAGTCAGTGTTAACAGGGCTGGGGGCAGGCTGGCTGCAGGAAGTCAGTGTAAATGGGGGCTGGGGGCAGGCTGGCTGCAGGAAGTCAGTGTAAATGGGGGCTGGGGGCAGGCTAGCTGCAGGAAGTCAGTGTTAGTGGGCTGGGGGCAGGCTGGCTGCAGGAAGTCAGTGTAAATGGGGGCTGGGGGCAGGCTGGCTGTTGGAAGTCAGTGTAAATGGGGGCTGGGAGCAGGCTGGCTGCAGGAAGTCAGTGTTAATGGCGAAGGGAGAGAGCTCCAGAGTGGGCTGGACAAGAAGGTCCAGGACAAGCTCCAAACACACGGCACTTGGCCATTCGCCATCTCACTTTTCCCAGGTCCCCTTGGCCGCCAACCCCCCCACCCCTCATGGGGCGTCTCCTCCCACAGTTGAGCTCCTTGGAAGAGGGGTGCTTCCCTGCTGGCCCAGCCCACACAGTGCAGGGACTGGACACTAGTAATCTGAAGACAGTCTAGGGAGCCACAGGGACATGTCATGCACCAGCTAAGTTTGAAGCCTCACTGGGCTCGATGAGCTCCACTCAGCTTTGGGTTAAGGCCCTGCCCAGCCACCCTGTGGTCAGCAGTTTCCCTGATTGGCCCTCAGGGTCCTCTTGGCCCTGGCCTCAGTCTCTCCCAGCAGCGGTCAGGGCATGAGTGTGCCACAGCCGCCCTGAGCCCTCATGTGTGCGCTGGGCGAAGGCGAGGAGCCAGAGGGCCCTACAGGCACAGAGCTGGCATAGGCTGATGGATGGCATGGCAGAGGCCGGCCCTGCGCCCACCTGGGCTTCCTGCACTGGTTCCTGAAGCCAAGTCTGTACCTGCTGGGTGGGCCTGTCCAGTTCAGGTCCTGCTCCTCTCTGACCAGACCCTGGGACTTCTTCCGGGACAAAGCGTGGCTCAGCCAGTCCTCTTCCGTGTCCTCAGATGCTCCTGGCTTGGAGGCCTGGCTGGCTTTGGAAGGGGCACCCCTGGAGGGTGGCTTTGCCCCAGAGGTGGGCAGACCAGCTGGGGTAGAGTGCTGACGGGCGGGAGGGGGCACTGAGAGGGTAGAGAGGGCTGAGCCACCTCTCTGGGTCTCTCTGGTAGGAGAGGGTGGAAGCAGGTCCAGCTCATCGTCCTTGAGGCCCAGCCAGTCGGCAGCTCCCTTTCTGGGGTGGATGGGGCTGGACGAAGCTGGTGTGCTCTGCCTGGAGCCCAGGTCACCTCTGGGGTCTGTGCTGCTTTCTGCTAAGAACCTACTTCAAGACAGAGAGGAGAGTGTCTAAGGCAAGGCCACTCCAGTGGGCCCCTTTCACCTCTTCTCACGGCTGGGGTGACTCTGAGGCCCGCACCAAGAACTGTCGCATCCGAGGACCTGCACATACAGCCCAGCCTCAAAGAGCAGTGGACATCGTGAGGTCCACCACTTAACTGAAGACCATGTGTGTCTGCAGAGTGGGACCAACCCCTCCCCCAGGCTCCGTGGCCCGAGGATGCTGGGTCAGATCTCACTCACGCGTGGCCTCCACCACCCTTCCTCCCTGGCCAGGGTGATAGCCTCCTGGGCTGAACGGTCTGTGGGACCCGGGAAGAAAAGCCTCTGTGCGCATGGGTCCCCACACAAGAGGGGGAGACGAGGGAGGTCCCTCCACTGTGCTCACACTTCCTGTAAGCTCAAAACTCCATCTAAGTGAAGCACTGACGAGGTCTTCTGGGGAGAAACTCCGAAAGGAGAAGATTCTAAGCACTGACTTAATTTTCTGTGCCGAGCTGCGGAGGCCACTGAGGAGACCACCATGATGGCTGCACAGCTGACCTGCCCCCAGTGCCTCGCCCACCCCACCAACTATATGTGCCTCAAGGGGTCCAGGTGTGACATCACAGCCAGCTAGTTACAGATTCCAGGGGCTTCAGAGGGGGTCAGGCCCACCTCATTTTCCTTCTCAAGAGACCAGGTTGGACACGGGCAGGCCAGGAGCAGACATGAGAGTGTGCTCCGTTTCCTCACCTGTCTGGGCTGATGGGCTGGGCGAGTTCACTCTGCCTTCAGCCCCCACACAGCCTGGTCTCACACTGTGGTGCTGACAGGCCGCAGAGATCTGCTTTCTGGTGGGCAGCATGTCCCCTCAGCACCCCCCAGCTTACCTGACTGACTGCCGGCGGGACTGCCGGCCTTCTGAGGAGCCCACTGTAGGCTGATAGGCCCCAAAGGTGAAGTCTTCCTCACCCCAGGTGTCTTCTCTCTCTGTAAGTGAAGAAGCCTGTGACCAAGAGCCTTAGCGACTGCCTAAGTCTTGAAGGAAAGTGGGACGGGCAGCTGGCTGTGTCGGACAGTGACCTGCTCTTCAGGAAGGAGGGGCTCAGACACCGTGTGAGACTCAGCTGCCAAAGGCCAGCGTGCTCAGAAGCCATGCTGGAGCGTGTAAACGACACGGGTGGGTGAGACACAAGCCAGTTCTGACTAGGAGCTGTGGGCCCGGGGCCAGCTTCTCCCATGTCACCCACAGGCCTCGGCTGGAGCCGGCTCTTGACCTGTGGAGCTCTCCGGCTCCTGCCTTCACCCTGTGCCCGAGGCCCTCACCCTGCGGCCTCCGGTACTTCCTGTCCAGCTTGAACTCTCGGTGCTCGCCGGTGCCCGGGCGGGCCAGCAGTGCGGCGGCGGTGCCTCGACCCAGCAGCTCATCGAGCTTGGCACGCGCGGGGCGGGGCCCTCCCCTGCAGGGTGAGGCAGCTGTGTGACCGAGGGCTGAGGTCCACCCGCCCCCCTGGCGTTCCTGTGCCAGAAGCAGCCGCCTGGCCAGGCCACCGCCTTGTCCACTCCTTACTGGTCTCCCATCTGCCCCTTGTCTGCTGTGGGGTTGTCTCCAAAGCCCAGGCTGGCCATGATATCGTCCCCATCATCAAATGTCAGCTCTTCTTTCCTTCGGAGGGGGGTGCTTCCAGGAGTCAGAGGTACAGAGGGGCCTATGAGAGAGAGAACACAGGGTGTAGGTCCACAGCCGCCCTGTCTCCAACTGTGGCATCTGCATTTCAGGGGGAGGTGTTTCCTGACACCCTGACTTTGGAGGAGGTGGCGGGCATCAAATTGCCAACCTGACCTGCCCCACATGCGTCACCTCCATTCCTGTCCCCATCTTGGTCTCTGGTGGCGCTGAGAGTCTTGTTGGAAGCCGTCTTCCTCTCTACCACGGGAGCCTTCTTGGCCACTCCGTCCTCGTCATCGGACAGCAGCCCTGCCAGCGGGTCTTCCACGCCTCACGCCAGGAGAGAGGCCACAGTTAGCCTGCGGATCTATGTCCAGAGCTGGCTGCGGGGGTCACTACTCTGGCGGATGATTGCATCTCTTGGGCACAGTAGTGAGCACCTGGCTGACAGCTGGAGGTCGGAGATTTGGCCCGCTGGCCACCGTGAGGGAGAGGGCCACGCCAGGTTACTTCTGTGAAAACTCACAGCCTTGGAAACCCATCAGAGCAGCTCTCGAGAGGCCGAGCCCGAGCTGACTCGATGACAGTAGGCTCTGGGATCTTCCTACTACCTAATCCGCTCTGCACCCGGAGGGCCTGGGAGCTTCCACACAGATAAGGCCCAGCAAGGGGCACAGAAGCTGGCAGAGCAGAGTGGGGACGGCTGGCCTGTGTGCCTACGTGACGGCTGCCAGCTCGCTGGTGGCCTCTGATGCTACGGTGGCACCAAAACCAAACCCACAGCCATTACGCTGACTCTGACTCCCGGAGCGCCCGCCCCCCAGGTCTCCGAGGCTCTGGTGGCCTAGTCCATACGGAGAACGCTACAACTCTAACAGCTGTGGCTGTCTAGCAGTTCAAATGCACCAGCAACTCCCTGGGAGGAAGATAAACAATTTCCTTCTACGTGATTTAAAGCTTTGGAAGCCTGGTAGAGGGGCAGCTATGAGCCAGTCCTGACTTGAAAGCAATTAAGTGGGGTTTCCACCCCCCTTTTGAAGTCTTAACAGGCTTCATCTTCCTCCTGAGCTGTTCCTGGTGGAGCTGAACTGCAGCCCAGCACCTGGGCTTCTGTGCCAGCAGGGCTCCGTGCTGGTGGCAAAGCCCAGTGGGAATGTCTCCGTCTCTGCGTCTCTCGAGACAAGGAAGACACTAGCGCAGTCACAGTGCAGGGCATGTTCTTTATAACGACCAGCCCTGGCTTCAGGGTCCTTGCAAATAAGTTTCCAAAATGTCCCAGTCAATACAGGGAGCCTGCTCCTCCCGGAGCACATCAGGAAGGGGGCAGCGGGGAGCAGCCACC